ACCTTAACGTAATGCTTTCCCTACCTTAAAACCTTTTGAGCATTTCCATCTGATCTTGACCTTACAGGATGTATTCTTTTAAGTCATGCAGATAAGCCTAATAAGTTTTCTGGCGATCCCTAAAGAATGCAGGCATTTGTACATATTCTCCCTGTTAATAGTATCATAGGCCTATTTGAAATCGATGAATACATGGTGTTAGTTACATTACATTCATTTGATTTCTCCAGCATTCGCCTTACTGAAAATATATGATCAGTGGTAAACCTACCTGGTCTAAAACCACATTGGTATTCTCCTACTACTTTCTCACTCCATTTTACTAATATCCTACTGATCGCTATAGAGAGTATTTTGTAAACTATTCCAGGGAGGAATATTTCGCGATAATTTCTACATTCTGTTCTGCACCCCTTTTTGTATATCAGACATACTAGAGCTTCAGACCATTCCCCTGGCATTCTTTCAGAAGTACATCCCTCAAAAATAATGTGGTATATATCCTTCCAAATGTTCTCTCCTGCATACTTAAGCATTTCCTTATACCATCTTCTCTTGGTGCCTTATTATTTCTGAGGTCCAAGATAATCTCAATTATCTCCTCAGTTTCAGGTGGCATATCTTCTTTCAGTACCTCCTCCAAATGGTTCCTCGTGTCTATCAAATGGTAGGGATTTTCTTTAACTCCTAACACTTCCTCAAACTATCTCTGGCATCTACCTAAGACCTCCTCCTTGTTATGAAATAGATTACCTTGATCATCCCTTACGAAGTCAGATCTTGGAGTAAATCCATTTTGAACTTCTTTTAAACCTTTATAAAATTTTCTTGTCTCTTTGGCCTTGTACTGGCCAAAAAAAAATGGTCTTCCAGTTTTCTGAGCCTCTTATTCTCCTTTGTTCTTTTCTTTCCTCAGCGAAGCTTCTTAGCTTCCTTCCTCTTTTGATGGTAAAGGTCAGTTGTTTGCCTTTTCGTTCTCTGAGGGTTTTGAGGCCTCTGCTCGCACGTGCACAAAATGTGAATTTAAGATTTTTCCTCCAATTCGAAGGATCTGGACCAAGCAAATCTGCCAATCGACCGCCTTCATGGCATCAGTTAATACTATATTATATCTTATAATATTATATTATATTAGAAATTCTATAGAAGGTTTTATCTTGGGATATTCAACAAATAAATATTTTATCCCATTTCAGTCCAGAACAATGAACATAACCCTGAAGGTGATTGGGCGGATTTGCTTGGTCCTGGTCCTTTGATTTGGAGGAACACCTTAAGTTCACATATTGTTTAAACTTTAACTCACTTCATTTACACTTTTTGTATACACTTGAAGTAAAAATTTGCCGAAATAATTTTTTATTTCAATTTGGGCTGTTTGTTATCCCGTCTTCCACCAAACCTTCTCCCCCTCCTCCACCACCCTCTTCAAAATTTTATATTAAATCAATTTTTATTTCACTGACTTGTATTAGACAGGTTCTTGAGGATACAAAGGCAACTGCGTATGATAATACGTGCAATTTATTTTAGCTTAAAATTTCCTAGTTTGCAAAATTTTGAAAAGCTGTAGTTTAAAACCTATTAGGTTTACCGCAGTGTTGGGCAAAATTTATCTTAAATAATAGATAATAGACAACAAATAATTTATTCGAACTTTCAACTATGAATAACGAATAATTCTGTTTATCTTGTATCTAGATAATAAATAAATTCAAGTTATCTATTATCTTTTTATTTGTTATTCGAGTTTTTCAAATAAATTCCAAATAATTTGATATAAGGGCCTATTTAAATATTTTCGGAGCCATAGTTTTTGAATATGATCTCCATTTTAAGATTACGCCACTGTGTTGCGACTTATTTGAGTTTTTGTATTTCTTCAATATAAGGGTTGATATGCTTCGTAGCCACAATTTTTGAAAATTATCTCTATTTTACGATTACGCCATTGTGTTGCAGCTTATTTAAGTTTTTTTTATTCTTTGATATAAGGGATGATTTATATGTTTTCAGAGCCGTAGTTTTTGAAAATGATGTCCATTTTGAGATTACGCCTCTATATTTTGACTTATTTGGGGTTTTTAGATTTCTTTAATTTGAGGGACTATTTATATGTTTTCGGAGCCGTAGTTTTCGAAAATGATGTCTATTTTGAAATTACTCCACTGCGTTTTGACATATTTGAGTTTTTCTGATATCTTTCATATGAGTGCCTATTTATATGTTTTCAGAGCCATAGTTTTTGAAAATGGTGTCAATACCTAAAATCAAGTAAGTCAAAACACGTGGCATAATCTCCAGATGGACATAATTTTCAAAAAATATGGCTCCTAAAGCTCAAACAAGTCATAAGGCACTGGCGTAATCCTAAACTGGAGATCATTTTCAAAACATATAAGCAGACCTTAATATCAAAGAAATTAACCACCCTCCCTCACCCCCTCCACATACCTATAAATTGCATATCGTTGTGTTCCTTGTCACTATTTATTAAAAAAAAAAGCCAATATTCCCACAAAAAAAAGTGAACGCACTGTCCCAAAATGGCGTTGGAAGATGTCGGACTGATGACTTTGACTTGAGTTAGTTTTTTGGTCACCGAGAATCAGCATTTGCCTTATTTTCATCATAATTGGCCTTTTATTAAAGCTGGATAGTCAGAAAATAATAAAACACGAAACAATATTTAAAAATAATTGGCTTAGGCAATAAAAAACACCAACAAATTCAATTTACTTTCAACAAAAAAAATATTTTCATTTGAAAATTAAGTGTCGTTTGTAATTAATCAGCCAACAATAACGGAAAATGTCCTGAAATAGAACACCGATAACTTTTTTAAATATTTGAAACGGTTTTGTAGAAAATTCACTTAGTATGTGGAAAAGCGGTATTGGGGTAGGTGCCTACAAGTCTCTGCCATATCATTCAGTACTTATAAATGGCATAGTTTAGTAATGTTTATGGTACATTATAATGTTTATGGTACATTATATGATTGTATTGATGAACAAATATTAATGCAATAATTTAATTGTCCAAAAAATTAAACTTTTTTTTTTAATATTACTTCCTTTATTCTATAAGGACGTGGTTTATGAAGGTCTCTATTGTAAAAATGATATAATTACAATAATAAAACTTAATTCAAAAATACTTTGCTGATTATCATAATTTTTTTATTTAAAGTTTGCAATTTAACACTTTGTTTTGTATATTTACTGATTCTTAGAGCTAAGTTAAATTGTATATACTTTCCCCAAAATGAGTTGTATTAATACCTGTTTTATAAACCAAAATATATACCTAATCTGAACTACATATAATGAATAGTTGCTGGGTTGTTTAATAAAACTCGTATATCACTAATAAAAAAATTAATTTCATTTATTTATTGCCTTTATTTTGTTCAGGGGTTGGACCATATCATAAACAAATAGGAAATTTTAATATTGAATGCTTTATTCTATCTTTACCAAGGAAGATGGAAAAAGCGAAGCTGTCTGCGTGTTCTTCCTGGTTACTGGAACTTAATTGTTAGTATTTGGTATCAAAATGAGAGGAAATAAGAAATTAGACCCAAAAATTAGAAATATACATTAAGCGAGTGTGGAAGGAATTGCCAAAATCTGGAGAAAAAAAACAAGGATCAGTATCCAGTATATGGCTAAGGGAATATATAGTAAACAGATGAGCAGAATATTTCAAGGAGCTGTTAAAAGGGTGTCACATGCTGGAGCAGTTTGGATGATATAAGGGGACAATGGAGGTTGTTTATGGTGAAGGCCATTTTATTAGCAAGAAAGATTATTTCAGAGCAATTGGCAAGTCATTAGATCTTGATGAAGTAACCCAAAATGTGTGTACATAGGCAACAAATGTGAAGATATATTTTTCCACTTTTTCAGTGTATATTGAATAATATGCCATTGGAAAATGATAACTGTTGTTGATGAGGACTGTAGTCCTCCCTTTACAACCAAGGAGATGTAATACCGATATTTATTCCTGTTCATTGTGCCAAAGAAGCTCTACTCCAAAATTGTTAGCTAGAATAAGAAATCTAATCGATTGCTTGAGCGACATAGATTAAGAAAAGATCAGGGCTTACTAAGGACCAATCCGAGGGAGAGACAAACTCTGGAATGTCCTTTTGTAGCCACTGCTGAACTGACCTGGCCTTGTAGGTAGGCACTTATGCTAATATCGCTTTTCCACAGATTAAGTGCATTTTCTACAAAACCGTTTCAAATATTTAAAAAAGTTATCAGTGTTTTATTTCAGGATGTTTTCCGTTATTGATGATTGATTAATTACAAATGACACTTAATTTTCAACTTAAAATTTTTTTGTTTGAAGAAATTGAATTTTTTGGTGTTTTTTATTGCCTAAGCCAATTATTTTTTAATATTGATTCATGTTTTATTATTTTCTAACTATCTAGCTTTAATAAAAGGCCAATTATGACGAAAATAAGCCAAATGCTGATTCTCGGTGACCAAAAAACTAACTCAAGTCAAAGTCATCAGTCCGACATCTTCGAACACCATTTTGGGGCAGTGCATTCACTTTTTTTTGTGGGGACATTGCCTTTTTTTTTTTTTAATGAATAGTGACAAGGAACACAACGATATGCAATTTATAGGGATGTGGGGAGGAGGGGGTGCACATTAGGAGGATCTGGCCCATAGACTATTAGGGCCTCACCAATGATCCTGGTCATCAAAGATCACAAGTGATCCATCTTCACTTTATGGATCTTTATAGATTTTATGAGATACACACCTTTGTAACAAAGTGGCGATTGGCAATGCCAATTTTTTTTCTTTTTCTTGGCTGTAGACAGATTTTTTTCTAATAAGTTTTTAATTTGATTTATCTCTTAAAACCTCAAATTTTTAAGAGAGGTTAATTTTTTTCCTTTGTTGATAAAGGTTTATTATTAAAAATGAGTGGAATTTGACTTTGAGCATTGTATTAATCAATTTTTTTAACAGGTCTGAACTGAAAAAGAGTTGGCTATGTGTATCTAAAGCCAATGGAAAAGGTTATGTTCCTTACAATCGAGTTGGTTTTGCTAAAAGAAAAACAGGTAAATTAAACTAATACCTTAATAAAGTGAATAGTAATTTATTTTCTCTAGAAGAAAATTATTTATTTCGATTATGAAAAAATGAACTCAGAAAATTGTTATTATATATTTTATTATTTATTGTTTCTATTTATAGGAAAGCCAAAGAATGAAATAGAAATTTACCCAGAAAACATAACTGATATTTGATTGCTTGAATTGTGCTTTCATTGGCAGATTGTAGAGACAGATAATTAAATGAAAATAAAAAATCAAACATACTTGCTACTATACTACCAGTGATTAGTAGCTCTTTCCATTCTCTTGTGATTTTATACATCATAGTAAAATAGTTTTATTTATTTTTTGTATATATAAAAAAAATTCCACCTAAGGATTTAGCCAATTTAGTCACCTCCTATTATTTCACAGAAAACAAGTTAAAAATATTTCAAATGACTGATATCTAATCCTTATACTCAAAATTACAATCATCATTGTTATATTTTAAACTATTTATAATTTTGTGTACAATATTTAATTATTTTCAATGTATAATTGATAATGAATAGTTCTAATTTTCAAATTTCGCCTTATTTTTTTCTAAAGGATGAATTAAATTTAAAATTTTCTGAGTCTTAAAATTTGCAATGTATGATCGTTAATTAATTTCATTTATTTATATAAGACAATAAATATATGTTCGTTGAAAAAAGCTGTTTTTTGTAAATAGTTAATGAATAGGTTATTCAATTATTTTTAACTAAAATTTTGAAGGCTGAGCTGTGAATATATAGGTATATTACTTAATATTAAAATAAAATCATCAATAATGAAAGCCAAGAATTTATGTATACAACCATTGTAAATTTTTTATGACAGTCTGGAAATATTATGTATTGTGAATGTCAAGTTTTCACTTGGCAGCATATGTATGTATTTAAATATTCTGATATTGCTATTGCAAATTTTTATAACTGTTATAACATTTTCATTAATAAAGAAGTGTCTTATTACTGGTTTTGATGAATAATCTTGTATTCCTTTTTTGTTTTCTTTTAACTTAACCTATTTGGTTTCAATAGGGAAATTCTCTTATTTCAAGTATTAAAAATTACTTTGTACTATTGAGTAATGCTTATCTCCATAAGACTAAGTAAACTTATTTATTGCCAATATTTCTTACTGTTTTATTTTATCACATAGAAACAAGCCAAAAATGTAGATTTTATATATTTTGTTTACTGTCATTTTTAAAAAATAAATGAAGAGAAGGATGGTTGGGGTGATCAGTCAAATTAAAATGGCAAAAATAAATAATTTTATTTATTTTTATATTCGCTGATGTTTCGGTCCGAAGTTCAGGCCTTCATCAGGGCTGGGAAAAAAACCCAGATAACAATAGGTATAATAACATTGAATAAAACAGAATTAAGATTAAAAAAGGTGAAAGGTATTCACTAATAATTTTAAGTAGAAGAACGTAGGATAAAATGAAGTAGATAGAATGAACATTAAAGTAAAACAAAGTAAATAGAATGATAACAGCTAGAGAGAACTAAGAAATAAAGAATAATAATCGTAATAAAGCACGGACCAATGAAATAAGCATAATAAAATATAAGGTAACACAAGAAATGAAAATGTTAATCTAGAATAAGGTGTAAAACAGAGAAAAGAAATATAAAGTTATATAAGGAAATAATAGATAGGTAACACAAGAATAATTAGATATAAATAGAACATTAAGATATTGTAAAATCTATCAAAAAATATAATATAAAAAAGATATATGAGTATCATATATAGAAAATAGAGATGACAGCATTCAGTGCTTCTTGAGGCTTTCCAAGTTAGGGTGTGCTCTGTGGCATGCCGTCCTCTCCAGTTCGGACCAAAGTCGATAATCTAGTGTGTTGATCAGGACTTCCTGAGGGCTAATCCGAGGCAGTGATGAACTATGAAATGTTGTTTTGTAGCCACTGCTGAGTTGACCTGGCCTTGTGAGCTGGAGCAGAATTATACTGGAAAACCCAATGACTTCCAGCAAACAAAGTATCACTTAGAGGCTTGACAGCAAGTTCCAAAATATCGTCCTGATAATTTTTAGCGACTGTTTTAACTCCTTTTTCACAAAAATGGAGCTTTGTGGTGCCATCAAAGCAAACTTCCCACCAAACCATCACTGAGGAAGGGTGATGACCTCTTTCTACTCTTCCAATAACTTCCTGGGCTTCTTTAGAGCTGTGTGCGTAAACACCATCATGTTGCCGATTACATTTTTTTCTTCAATTGTAAACATTTTCTCATCGCTAAACAAAATCTTTCGATGAACACTATTGGTGTAACGGACAGGGAGCACTTACATTGAATAGAGCACTTTGCATCTATCCATTCTATTTTTTTGTAGGAAAGTGGTTAGTCTTTGTCTTGTCATTCTTCGAAATGCACTCATCCTAAAGTCACTTTTTATTTTGCAAGACATTGATCTGACAGAGATTCCCGTTTCACAAGACATGACTTGTTGTTTTCAAATGGAATTTCTTCTGAGCAGCCACTGCTCTCACAGCATTTGCCGTTCTCACAGTGCAGGGGCGGCCTGTCAAGGTCTGTCACATACAGATAAGGTCTCATTATGTCTATTTATTGTGTGGTACACGAACATATGGCTGATACCTAAACGTTCAGTGTTGAAAATCTCTGACCTACATTTTATAACTTTGTGTAAGGCGATCACAGATATTCGGTTTTCGTTATCACCCCACTCCATGTTAACTGAGCGAAAGAAAAATACAAACTAATTGTGATTATTATCCTGATGTAAAGAAAATAACCTGATATAGGTAAGGATTATCTAAATAATACCCAAGGATGTAAACAAAGTTCAACTTTTGTAACAGTATTTATGGCAGAACTAGGTATATAAAACAACAACACATCACAAAACAAAGGTTACATACAGCCATAAGCGCAGACTTTCGATTTTTATAGAGAGGGGAGGATGGATTTAATAAAAAAAAAAAAAAAGTGGCGGGAGTTTTTATTATGTGTGAAACTTCAACATAATTATTGTGAAACGAACAAATATAATATTGAATATTTAAAATTTATTGGTTTATATGTTTGTATAGTTGTAAGGATTTGTTTTGTTTTTTACTTATTATATATACTTAAAAATGTCTTTAAAAAATACAATTGAGTACATAACGTATATTCCAACTTCACAGTTTGAGTATTTCCATCCATTATTTGGTCTAATTAAACTTCTATTGGATTATAATGGCTAATTAAGTACATGAAATACAAGTTTCATGAAAATCGATTCAGTACCAACGTATATATATGAGCTGACCGGTGATCGAGTGGCAGCCGTTTTTGATGAGGTTTTGGCTTTGAATGCATCAGGAAATTGATATTAGCCCAAGTCCATAATACCTATTATGGCAATTATTCACATTTTAATAGATCCATTAGAATTCATGGATTCATCTTTGAAACTTCATTGGCTTGGTCATGTTTTCATAGTGCATATATTTAATAAATAAAAAAGTTAAGTGGTTAGGGAAAAAAATAATAAAATAAATAAATCATCTCTAAAGAATTTTAATTTTTATCGAAACTTAATCTATTACATACATAATAGGAAAAAATAACTAAAACACAGAATAATATCTCACTTGATGAAATAAAGAGCAAACAAAAAATTAAAGTTTAAACATAATTATGACTTTTATTTATTATATTTAAAGCCGTAGACGTCTAAATCGATTGACTTTCAAGAGACGCCCATCTAGATTTTTAAGACCAGCCGCTTCCCTTTATAAACGGTGGGCCAGACCCCCTTACCGTGCCCCCCCCCTCCCCACATCCCTATAAATTGCATATCGTTGCGTTCCTTGTAATTATTTATTAAAAAAAAAGCCAATATCCCCACAAAAAAAAGTGAACGCACTGCCCCAAACATGGCGGATTGACGACTTTGACTTTAGTTTGTTTTTTGGTCACTGAGAATCAGCATTTGGCTTAATTTCTTCATAGTTGGTCTTTTATTAAAGATGAATAGTCATAGAATAATAAAACATGAAGAAATATTAAAAAATAATTGGCTTAGGCTATGAAAAACACCAGTAAAATCAACTTTTTAACAAAAAAAATTTCAAGTTAAAAGTCAAGCGTCGTTTGTAATTAAACGGTCTACAATAACGCAAATAAAACATCTGGAGAATATATTTCTCTTTCCAAAATGCTGATTATTTTTTAAAAATTTTTAAGCAGTTCCATAGAAAATGCACTTATGAGGCAGAAAAGTGGTACTGGCGTGGGTGCCTACAGGCCTCTACCACACCATTCAGTACACATAAATGGCTTAGTTATAGTGATATAATAACGTTTTTGGTACATTATATTGGTTTTATTTACAAACAAATATTAATGCAATAATTTAATTGTCAAAAAAAAACTAAAATTTTTTAAAAAATGTATTATTATTTTTTTTTAAATCTAACTTCCTTTATTCTATAAGTAGGTGGTTTAAGTAGACATCAATTGTAAAAATGATATAATTATTGTAATAAAACCTAATTAAAAAATACTTTGCTAAATATCTTGATTTTTTTTTTTAATTTAACGTTTGCAATTTAACGCTGTGTTTTGTATATTTACTGATTCTTAGAGGTAATTAAAATTTACCTCAGTTATAAAAGAGAACTGATTGTTTGAATTTGGTCTCAAAATGAGGAAAAACGCAAAATTGAACCCAAAAATTGGAAAAATACATTAAGCGAACGAGAAAGGAAGTGCCAAAACCTCGGAAAAGATAAAAAGGACCAGTATCCACTATATAGCTAAATGAATGTATAGTAGACAGATGAACAAAATATTTTAAAATGCTGCTAAAAGGGGGTCAATTGCAGTTTGGATGATATTAAGTGGACGATGTAGGTTTATTATGGTGAAAACCACTTTATTTTTTATTGCACCTGAAGAAAAAGTTACCCCTAGATACATGATCGAAAAGGGGCTTGACCTCATAATGTCATACAAGGTGTAAACATTGTAAGTACCTGAAAAGTAGATGGTGGTCGGGCAGACTCAGCCTCTTATAGAGGAAGGGGAGGAAAGGTGAGGTCACAGGATAGAAAAAGAGGCATGCCATCTAGTCACGTGATCAAAGATGGCCGAAACTCGGAGGTTAAAGTAGGGATGGAGTAAAAACGGGCGTGACTGGCATTAGTGGTTATATATATATATATATATAATATATATATATATATATATATATATATATATAACTTGATTTTTTCATGTTTTCATCTAAAAATATTTCTGCCACTTGTAAAAAAAGTTGTATTTGTATATAATACATGGTATTTGTAGATAATACTTAGTATTTATGGAATTTTATAATCTTTTTTACCTTTAATAATCAAAATGTGATTGGGTAAGAAAGATTAGAGAAAAAAAATTGAAAAACGAACCATTATTATTCTAAAAGAAATTAATTACATCATCGTTTAGTAGCGCGTGTTTCCTCCTCTTGCCTTCACTACTTCTTGAAGACACCTCGGCATACTTTCCACCAGTCGGGAAATGACCCTTTGCTGGAGGATAGCCCATTCCTCCCGAAGAGCCCTTTCAAGGTCCTGCATTGTATCAGGAAGTGTTGCACACGCTGTTATTCGTCTTCCAAGGTTATCCCATAAATGCTCAATGGGGTTCAAATCTGGAGAACGTGTTGGCCAGGCTAAAACCTCAATATTGTTCTGTTGAATGAACGTCTGCACTATGCGGGCGACATGTGGGCGTGCATTAGAATAGAACGATCGCCGATTTCGTTGAGGATAGGCAACACATGAGGTTCCAAAATCTCATCTACATAGCGAATGGCCGTCAAAGACCCTCCACGAACAACAACCATTTCTGTGCGGCGCTCCATTGAAATCCCAGCCCACACCATTAAGGAACCACGTCGGATCCGTCGGATAGGCTCTGGGAAAAATTACATATCTAGCTGCATATCTTTCGTTTCTTCAG